TTATCTCTCTGGGTAACTAAGGTGGACGTTCTTATCTCTCTGGGTAACTAAGGTGGACGTTCTTATCTCTCTGTCTTCTTATCTCTCTGGGTAACTAAGGTAGGCGTTCTTATCTCTCTGGGTAACTAAGATAGGCGTTCTTATCTCTCTGGGTAACTAAGGTGGGCGTTCTTATCTCTCTGGGTAACTAAGGTAGGCGTTCTTATCTCTCTGGGTAACTAAGGTAGGCGTTCTTATCTCTCTGGGTAACTAAGGTGGGCGTTCTTATCTCTCTGGGTAACTAAGGTAGGCGTTCTTATCTCTCTGGGTATCTCTAACTATAGGCGTTCTTATCTCTCTGGGTAACTAAGGTAGGCGTTCTTATCTCTCTGGGTAACTAAGGTAGGCGTTCTTATCTCTCTGGGTAACTAAGGTAGAACATTCTCAATCAACTGAGTCTCTAGCATATTTACGCTACAGAGAGGTTCCACTAATACCGTGTTACGTTACAGAGAGGTTCCACTAATACCGTGTTACGTTACAGAGAGGTTCCACTAATACCGTGTTATGTTAGAGGTCCAACTAATACCGTGTTAGGCTACAGAGAGGTTCCACTAATACCGTGTTACGTTACAGGTCCAACTAATACCATGTTACGTTACAGAGAGGTTCCACTAATACCCTGTTACGTTACAGAGAGGTTCCACTAATACTGTGTTACGTTACAGAGAGGTTCCACTAATACCATGTTACGTTACAGAGAGGTTCCACTAATACCGTGTTACGTTACAGAGAGGTTCCTGGGGTCGAACTGGAGAGAGGAATGGGTCGTCCTTCATGAAGACTCAGCCCTGGAGTGGTACAAAGATCATGACGAGTCTGACCTCCTCGGTGCCATCGTCCTCAAGGTCAGAGGTCAAATAATCTGGGGGTTATAAGGGTTAATTATCAGGGGTTAGTTAAGGTCAAATATCAGGGGTGAAGAAAGATCAATTGGGGTCATTCATTCATTCAATACCCTGCCCTATATTTATCGCCTACCATCAATACCCTGCCCTATAATTATCGCCTACCATCAATACTCTGCCCTATAATTATCGCCTACCATCAATACCCTGCCCTAAAATTATCGCCTACCATCAATACCCTGCCCTATAATTATCGCCTACCATCAATACCCTGCCCTATAATTATCGCCTGCCATCAATACCTTGCCCTATAATTATCGCTCACCATCAATACCCTGCCCTATAATTATCGCTCTACCTACATCAATACTCCCTGCCCTATAATTATCGCCTACCATCAATACTCCCGCTCCTATAATTATCGCCTACCATCAATACCCTGCCCTATAATTATCGCCTACCATCAATACCCTGCCCTATAATTCATCGCCTACCATCAATATTCTGTCCTATAATTATCGCTCACCATCATCAATTCTGCCCTATAATTATCGCCTCACCATCAATACCCTGCCCCATATAATCATCGCTCGCCATCAATACCCTGCCCTATAATTCATCGCCTACCATCAATGTTCCTCCCGCCCTATAATTATCGCTCACCATCAATAATTCCTGCCCTATAATTATCGCCTACCATCAATACCCTCCTGCCCTATAATTATCGCCTACCATCAATACTCCCGCCCTATAATTATCGCCTACCATCAATACCCTGCCCTATATAATTATCGCTCACATCATTACCTCCTGTCTGGCAATTATCGCTCTACCATCAATACTCCTGCCCTATAATTATCGCCTAACATCACTGGATTCTGCCCTATAATTATCGCCTACCATCAATAATTCTGCCCTATAATTATCGCCTACCAATACCTCTGTCCTATAATTATCGCCTACCATCAACACTCCTGCCCTATAATTATCGCCTACCATCAATACCCCGCCCTATAATTATCGCCTACTCATCAATACCCTGGCCCCAATTATCGCTCAATATCAATAATTCCCCATCCTATAATTATCGCCTACCATCAATACCCTGTCCTATAAATTATCGCCTACCATCAATACTCCCTGCCCTATAATTAATATCGCTCACCATCAATAATTCTGTCCTATAATTATCGCTCATCACCACCCCTGTCCTATATTCATCGCCTACCATCAATACCCTGCCCTATAATTATCGCCTACCATCAATACCCTGCCCTATAATTATCGCCTACCATCAATACCCTGCCCTATAATTATCGCCTGCCATCAATACCCTGCCCTATAATTATCGCCTACCATCAATACCCTGCCCTATAATTATCGCCTACCATCAATACCCTGCCCTATAATTATCGCCTGCCATCAATACCTTACCCTATAATTATCGCCAGATATCTACCACAGGAGGCACCGGAGATGATAGCAGCTGGTCCCTTCTCCTGCTATGTACCCGGGCGACCTGACCTGCCCAAAGAAACAGATCCGAACAACATGATGGTGTTTGGCAATAAGACGAAAGACAAGATGAATTGGTTTATCTGTAAGAATATGGATGACCTCAAGTAAGTATTGGTAGGGAGGTGCGTGAGATGGAGGAGGGTGGGGTGTGGGGGTGTGATTGAGGGTGTGGGGGTGTGATGGTGGGGTGTGGAGGGTATGATGGTAGGGTGTGGGGTGGATGGAGGGGTGCCGGGTGATGGAGGGGTGGGGGTGGAGTGGAGGGGTGGGGTGGGGGGTGTGGGATGGAGGGGTGGAGGTGATGGAGGGGTGTGTGAGGGTGATGGGAGGGGTGGAGGGTGTGATGGTGGGTGTGGGGGAGGAAGGGTGTGATAGAGTGAGATGTGAGAAAATTTACAGAAGGAAAGGGATAAAGGGTGAGGCAGAAAAGTGATAGGCAAAGGGTGTGAGAGATATGAGGGGTGAGAGGTGAGGGAGAAGTATATGACAGGTGAGGGAGATAAGTGAGAGGTGAGGGAGAAGTATGTGACAGGTGAGGGAGAAGTATATGACAGGTGAGGGAGAAGTATATGACAGGTGAGGGAGATAAGTGAGAGGTGAGGGAATCTTTGATATGAGCACTGATTTACCTGTCCAGGGAAGTCAGATAATTAAGTGTGTGTGTGTATGAATGTGTATATATGTGAATGTCTGCATGTGTGTGTGTGTGCATGTGTGTGTGTGTGTATGTGTGTGTGTGTGTGTGTGTGTGTGTGTGTGTGTGTGTGTGTGTATGTGTATGTGTGTGTGTGTGTGTATGCGTATTTTCCCATAAAACCATTAAATCAATTCTCTTTATCAATCTCTCTCTTAATGCAGCCAATGGATGACAGCTATCAGTAACACGGTAAGTAACTGCTACTTATGTTGATGTCACTGTTTCTTATGACTGTTACTGTTACCTATATCCAATGTTACTTCTGATAGGCACTATGTTACTGTTCCCTGTTTTGACTGACTGTTTCCTGAGTTACTGTTACCTATATCTAATGTTACTTCTGATAGCTACTGTTCCTTATATATACCATCTCTTCAACCAAAAACTCATCACTCATAATAAAAAAAGAAAAAAGTAACCTAACCTAACTTAACCTTATCTAATTTCACCTCACCTAACCTAACCAAACCTGCTCAAAGCTAACCCTACCTAATCTAACATGCTCAAAGCTAACCCTACCTAACCTAACCAAAGCTAACCCTACCTAATCTAACCTAACCAAAGCTAACCCTACCTAATCTAACCTAACCAAAGCTAACCCTACCTAATCTAACCTAACCAAAGCTAACCCTACCTAATCTAACCTAACCAAAGCTAACCTAACCAAAGCTAATCCTACCTAATCTAACCTAACCAAAGCTAATCCTACCTAATCTAACCTAACCAAAGCTAATCCTACCTAATCTAACCTAACCAAAGCTAACCTAACCAAAGCTAATCCTACCTAATCTAACCTAACCAAAGCTAATCCTACCTAATCTAACCTAACCAAAGCTAACCCTACCTAATCTAACCTAACCAAAGCTAACCCTGCCGAATCTAGCCTAAACAAAGCTAACCAAACCTAATCTAACCTAACCAAAGCTAACCAAACCTAATCTAACCTAACCTAACCTAACCTAACCTAACCTAACCTAACCAAACCTAATCTAACCTAACCAAAGCTAACCAAACCTAACCTAACCCTTAATTTCTGTTGTATTCGAACCAGTTGCCACCGCCTCCCGAACCCCCCAAACCTCCGGCACCACCAGGAGGGGGCCCAGGGGGATACCAGCAGAAGGGGGATCCACCCCCCTACACCCCAGTCCCTACGGCGCCGCCCCCCGCCACCCAGCCAGCGTATAGTAAGTTCAGGTTTAGTTATCTCTGTCTGTCTGTCTCGTTTTCCTTCTTCTGTCTCTCTGTCATTCTCTTTTTCCTTCGTCTGTCTCTCTCTCTCTCTGTAGCTTTTGTCTTTCTTTCTCTCAACGTTTGCCTCTCTGTCTCTCTCTCTATCTCTCTGTCCCTCTCTTTGCCTCTGTCTCTCCCTCTATCTCTCTGTCCCTCTCTTTGCCTCTCTGTCTCTCCCTCTATCTCTCTGTCTCTCCCTCTATGCCTCTCTGTCCCTCTCTTTGTCTCTCTGTCTCTCCCTCTATCTCTCTGTCTCCCTCTCTTTGTCTCTCTGTCTCTCCCTCTATGCCTCTCTCTCTCTCGTAAAACAATTATTATTTACTGTTAATATTGTTGTCATTATTGATATTTATACTTCCAATGTTATTACTACCCTACCACACCCTGACCCGACCAAAACTAACTAAATCCCAACCAAACCCAACCAAAACTAACTAAATCCCAACCAAACCCAACCAAAACTAACTAAATCCCAACCAAACCCAACCAAAACTAACTAAATCCCAACCAAACCTAATGAAAGAATCACCGTGTTTCAGATCCCGCGGCGGCTGCAAGAGGGAACTATGGAGGAGGAGGAGGTGGAGGGTACCCAAGAGGAGGAGGAGGAGGAGGAGGGTACGGAGGAGGAGGAGGGTACGGAGGAAGAGGAGGGTACGGAAGAGGAGGAGGAGGAGGGTACGGAGGAGGAGGAGGAGGGGGAAATACGGTTATAGTAGATAGAGGTAATGACGGAATCGGTAACTTCGCTGGCGGTATGATGATGGGAGCCGCTCTATCAGGATGGGGACCCAGATTCGGTGGCTGGGGGTACGGGTTCGGTCTTGGTGTCCCTATGCACGTCGGGTTCGGGTCCCATGGCTTCTACGGTGGCGGGTTCCATAATCAGGTGAGTGTGAGGTGAGATGCATTGTATAACTAATTTTCAAACACCAATTCCACCCTTAAGTAATTTTCTAAGTCACTTTCAAAGACAAAAACAAAACACAAAAATTTTACTAATTACAAACAATTTCTTCATAGGAGACAAACATCACAAACAACTACAACGTCAACAACGAAACAACAAACAACGAATTAAATCCTGATGTTGGCGATGCTGCTGGAGCTGAACCCGGCGTTGGCGATACTGCTGGAATCGAACCCGTACCCGAGCCTATCGACCCAGGAGGAGGAATGAACCCAGACGCTGAAATGATACCAGATGGAGTGGACCCGGGCTTTCTGGATGAGGGAGGGATGGATATGGCGGGAATGGAAGACATGGGTGAACCGTTTGAAATGGGTGGGATGGATGACATGGGGGGTGAGTTTGATATGGGTGAGATGGATATGGGTGGAGGATTCGATATGGGTGGATTTGATATGGGTGGTGATATGGGCGGGTTTGATATGGGGTTCTAGTCCATCTGTATGTCTGTGAGCTGTTTCAAGACCAGTACTTAACCAACACTGGAGTAGGTACAGATATATTCAGTCATGACCAGTACTTAACCAACACTGGAGTAGGTACAGATATATTCAGTCATGACCAGTACTTAACCAACACTGGAGTAGGTACAGATATATTCAGTCATGACCAGTACTTAACTAACACTGGAGTAGGTACAGATATATTCAGTCATGACCAGTACTTGACCAACACTGGAGCAGGTACAGATATATTCAGTCATGCCCAGACTTAACCAACACTGGAGTTATACAGATATATTCAAATGATTGTATTCTAACAACACTGGAGCAGGTACAGATATATTCAGTCATGACCAGTACTTGACCAACACTGGAGCAGGTACAGATATATTCAGTCATGACGAGACTTAACCAACACTGGAGCAGGTACAGATATAGTCAGTCATGACCAGACTTAACCAACACTGGAGCAGGTACAGATATATTCAGTCATGACCAGTACTTGACCAACACTGGAGCAGGTACAGATATATTCAGTCATGACGAGACTTAACCAACACTGGAGCAGGTACAGATATAGTCAGTCATGACCAGACTTAACCAACACTGGAGCAGGTACAGATATATTCAGTCATGACCAGTGAGTAACAGAGACGTGACCGATCACCCAAGCGGCTAACGAGCTGATCAGTGAAGAGGATAAAAGTAAGTAAAACGCAAAAGGAGTTGGTAAGGACTGGATAATTACAATTTATATATATTACATTCGTGCAATATTGATAGTTTATATATACATTGCATTACTTGCGTCCATACCATAACATAGGTATTAATGCGTTATTAGTGTGTTATATACATTATTACGTTATTTGCGTCCACAATATACATATCACTGTGTTATTAGTATTCATATATTATACACTATTGCGTCCATAATTCATTACTGCGTTATTTGCGTCCATAACAGAAACATATATTACTACATTATTAAGTGTCCATTTGCGTCCATAACATAACACATTACTGCGTTATTTGCGTCAATAACATAACACATTACTGCGTTAAGTGTCATAACATATGCAAATTAATCTCATTAACTCTAGAATGAAATTAGTGTCAGAATATTTACCCTTCGTTAGGCCATCAAACACTATGTTATTTCAGAGAGAATAAATCATTATATGACTTAATATTGTTTAAACCGAAAGATGAAAAATAAAGAACATTTTCACTCCACCTTTACCTCACTGGTCAAAGTCTCAAACTGGTGACGAGGCAAAAGCGAAATAGCCCAGGGATTTTTTTTTCTCCTACTACTGTATTTACAAACCAAAAAATTGATCTTTTCAACTAATTACTCGGAAGTACAATAACCTTTAATGATACTATGAATAGAATGGATGCTAAAAATAAAGGGAAATAAAGGTTATTTTTAGATATCTGTCTCTTTTTTCCTGTAGCCAAGACAATGATTGGCTGGTATGGTGTGGCGTCATGGCCGAGTTGTCAATTGTTTCTATAAATCTATAATACCCGTGAATACCTGTGTCTCTGTTGTGTGTTATACATTATTTCTTTGGTAATTTAACATGTAATTATACAGATATTAAGTCCTCATTATTAATATAAGCAGCCATAATTGTAGGTGAAGGAAAAAACTGCATTGTGATATCTTGCATCTACTCTTGCTCACTGTAGCACGAGGAAAACTACAAATAATATATATAACTATATTTTTGTTATGCACATTAAAATAATACAAATAATTTATTAGTGTATTTAATAAAGTACCTTCTTTAATGTATATAAATCTGCTTAATCAACATTTTGGTGCCGAGGATACAGCAGTAACTCTCACTCATAAGTCAAGGGTTCGAGCCCCAGCCCGGACACACGTGAGAAGGGTGTTGTGACCACTACAGGTTTCCTCCTCTACTAACACTGGAGGAGTGGTGAATATAATAATAATAATACCTTAATTTTGTATTGGATCTCAAATGAGTTTCTATACAAACATACACACGCTACTAGTATCTCTTATACACACATATAAACACTATTATCTACCATACAAACATACACAAACTATTAACGTCACTATACAAACACTATTATCTACCATACAAACATACACAAACTATTAACGTCACTATACAAACACTATTATCTACCATACAAACATACACAAACTATTAACGTGGGTTAATCCCATAAAAAATTACCTGCATTGTCGTCTCTAACATGACAGTGATTATAAGATCGTCAAGATCGTCTAGGATGTGGAAAGTGTAAATCGATGTAGGACTTTAATGCTAGACACGATTGTATTTTTAAAACCCACTTCCCCACATGACAAAGCTTTTATTTTGGTCTTATTTTTTAGGTAAGCAGTATCGCTGTGATAAAGGCCAACCAGGGAGTGTAGTACTGTGCCTTCAGTTAAATCAGTTCATATTGTCAACAGAATGCAGAAGAGACTATAAATAACTTAAAGTGAATACATATTAAGCAATCGAGCTGGTAAGACAACTGCCAGCCTTATTCAAATATAGGTGCCGTTAAGAGACTTTTAAATTTTATTTTGTTTGTGTGTTTTCAAGGACTGAATCTGTGTTTATAATACACCACTCACAGGAGATACAGTGTGCACACAAGTGGAGGTTCATAGTGTCATCAGTGACCGCTGAAGTTGTACAACTTTAAAGTGAGCGGCTCACTAGCAAGCAAGCTGGTGCACTGTGCCAGCTAACCAAGTCAGTCATAGGTGCTACAGAGACTTTAAATTTTATGTTGTTTGTGTGTTTTCTCAAGGATTCCAGTCCAGCCTACACACACCATTCACAGGGAGATACAGTACAGTCGCAGACGACAATTCATAGGCAACAGAGAGTAGCTAAGTAATTTTTCTCTTTTATTTTTGAAATAGGTGTAGATTTGCTAATAGTTCGCACCCCCCCCACAACAAATAAACCAGCGAGTTTGATAAGGTGATTACTGCAGGAGACGTCGGATATGGAGGATACAGGCCTAACTAATGCAGCGTTTAGAGGTTACCAACTGCCGTAAAGCTTGATGGCTGTTGCTGGTATTGCTCTGGCTGCATAGTCAAGGTGAATGAAGCGATTGGGTAATCCATAAGGGAACAGCTCCTCTAGGGACGAGGGAATAGATGAAGCAGGGAGCCCTGCTGGTTGACAAATCCGAGCAAGTTGAGAAAGAGATCCTTGCTAAGACTGGAGGAAGTAGCTGATAGAATGGAGGTGGTTGTTAAGAGGAGTTATGCTGACGTATTAGGAGGCTCCCCAAGGAGAGTAATGCAGAATCAGGCACAGGTTCTACAGCAGATTGGGACTTTGAAGAAGTGTGTCGAAGAAATGAAAAATTAACGGACCTACTGTTAGGGAGAGGAGGAACACCAGAAACGGGCTCCAGCGCAGGAACAATGTGGGCTAGTTTTTGGAGTCACTGAGATTGTAAGAGGGAATCAGAGTAAGGAAACACACGACAAGGTGCTGGGTTTCCCAGGCTAAGTTTGCACAGAGGTTCTGAAGATTCCAGCAACCCCCAGGATGGGAGAGGAGGCCAGAAAAGCAGGGGGCTAAGCCTCGCCCCTCAGGATCACACTAGTGAGTGAGGAGGAGAAACAAGCAAGTTATTCGGCAGGCAAAAAATAAAAGGAGCGAGGCATTTCGGGATGTATTTATTCACCAGACCGCACGGTAATGCAGAGGGAATAACACAAGAAGCCCTGCAGGACTTGAAGCAGAAGAGGGAGGAGTCGAGGAGGAACGGGGACAGGTAAAGTGGTTATACTCTTTAGGGGAGGGTAGTGGAAACAAGTAAAGGACACAGGGCCAGGGGCAGCAGTGCACCTCCACTCCACTTCACAACCCCCCACCCGGGAGGCGGCACCAGCTCAGCCTACCGGGCAGGAGGGAACGAGCCGTGTAAACAATGACATTTCTAACCACACCCTGCAAAAATACAGTGTACTTAAAGGCAAATGCTGCAGCTTCTGGAGAATGTGGGGAGCTGGGTTTATTACTAAGAGCAGAGACGTTATCAGAGAACAAATTTGGCTTTGAATGTCATGTGTACACTAATACTGACACGTTCCCTTGGATAAGAGAGAGGAGCTTGAAACACTACTAAGAGTACACCAACCAGATATTGTAGGAGTTGTAGAACTGTTGTACAAGAACAGAGAATCGACCCAGAGGAATGTGAGTTCAGTATTAAGCGGATATGACCTATTTACGAACCTAACTCAAGAACCCTGCAGGAGGGGTGTGTGGTTATCTACTGTACGCTAGGCAAGACCTTAGAGCCAGCCAGGCGAGGGTACAGGGAGGATGTTTTTGAAGAGTCCAAGTGGTGTAAAATTCTAATTAAAGGGAGGGACTTACTTCTATCGTCGGGTGTATCTACAGATCCCCAAACTGTGGCCCACTAAATCAAAGGAACTTAAGAACCTTAATAAACAATGCGGCGATGCTCAACCTAGCCACCTCCTTAGTCATGGGGACTTTCAACTATGGCGACATTTGACTGAAGAACGTAGTTCGCACACCCCTCAGATTGGACTTGAATAAACCTGCTACTCTTTTTTGTAGAAACTCTGAGAGATAATTTTCATTCCAACATGTGAGACCCGACATTAAGTGAGGAGCAACACCCAAGCCACTTGGACCTCATCATAACAAACGAGGAGGGTATGGTGGCTGGAACTGGAACACCTTGCCCCAGTTGGCACCAGTCACCATACAGTGTTGTCATTCAGATTTAACTGTTACCTAGTTCAAGATAAGGCCAGGCCAAGGTGCAAATATTACAAGGGAAAATTGCCAATGGGATGAGGAAGAGATGAGGGGTATCAACTGGCTCGACTTATTAAGGTACAAGAACGCAGATGCTGAATATCATAACTAGTAAAATGAATTCATTTGATCGATAAATATGTACCAAGACCAAACCCAGTGTTTAAGAATTAGGGGATTCCTACACATGAACCATGCGGCGGTCGACAAAATAAGGAAGAAAACCCACAAATTCAAGACGTGGGTTGGCCAAACGATGAGCAAGACAGGAGGATGTATGCAAGAGCCAGAAACCAAGCAAAGATAGAGTGTAGAGGGCTTGGTGCTGGTTCCGTGAGGCTGGCTTGCACGTGCGAGGTCAAGTCAAACCCAAAAGGCGCCTTTTACCGCTATGTGTCAGAAATTGAAAACGCGGAGTTGGAGTATCGACCTGGAGGCTTGAAGATGTAAAGGCGCAGATTCTGACCAGATAAAGCTTATATAGCATTGAACAGCTTTTCTCAGTGTTCGGCAAGAGAGGATGCAACTAACCTTCCTGCGTTTGAGGACAGACAGTTCGACACAGCACTGACCC